TCCTCCTGCATTTAGAACCTCTATATTTCCCTTCTGGGGAGTTCATGTCTAGCAACTCATGACAGTGCACTGTGGGTTCGACACGTGCTTCTTGGCTTCGGGCATTCTTTGCTTCAACAGCTTCTTTCGCCTTTTCCTCATCTCCAATACAATCAAGGACCATTCCACTCTGACAGCTACAAGCCTCGATTGTCTGTACTGCTCTGTTGTAATTTTGGGCGTCTGGCCTTCTTGGATGCAGTATCGCTGCTGCTGTTGCTGTCCTCAGTCAAAAATGTATGTCAGTTTACGTTATCATTTTAACATCTGAAAGTTGTGAAGTCTTTTATTGGTGCTGTCCTGCTCCATTGAGTACCTATGCAACCCTCTTACATAGTGAGTTTATGTCCAGTAACTCCTGACTGGGCTGCAGGTTTGACACGCACGTCTCTGCTTCCGGCCTTCTTCGCTTCAACTGCTTCTTTGACCTGCTCCTTGTCTCCAGTGCAATCAAGGGCCAGAAAAAATACTCTGACCACTCTAGGCCTCTATCGCCTATACTCCTATGTTGTAAATTTGGGTGTCTGGCCTTCTTGGATTCAGTATCGCTGCTGCTGTTGCCGGCCTCGGTTCAAGCAGTATGCAAGTGCATATATATATATATATGTATTAATTTCATCAGCTGCAAATAGATTTATGCTCTCTGTCTATTTGGTACCTTTATTTGTTTGTGTTAAGCAACTCCATACTGGATTGTAAGTTCAACATGTGTTTTTTGCTTCCGGCCTTCTTCGCTTCAACAGCTTCTTTGGCCTTTTCCTCATCTCCAATGCAATCAAGTACCATTCCGCTCTGACCGCTAGAAGTCTCGATAGTCTATACTCTTCTGTTGTAAATTTGGGTGTCTGGCTTTCTTGGATTCAGTATCGCTGCTGCTATTGCTGTCCTCGGTTACAACGGGATGTCAGTGTATATGTTCATCTCATCATCTGCAAGTTGTGAAGACTTGTACTTGGGCTCTCCTCTTTCTTTGAATGATTTCCTCCCTTGCCATTGCCCTCGTCCTCAGCAGTTGGAGGAACAAGGAGTGCAAACCATGTGGCCACTCACTGTGGGCCGTTGCTTCAACATTTGGGGTCAAAGCATGTAGCAGCAACTTTGGGTCGAAAGTCGGCTCTAATGCAAAACAGCTTGTGATTCAGATCTCAAAGAATGTGTCTCTAAACCTCTTTGCCTCCTCGCCCTCGCACAGTGTCGCAGCTCGCACAGTCCATTCGTTTCGTTTCGCCGAAACCGACGAAAAGAAACGGCGCCACCGGCGCCCGAACCGGGCCTTCGTAGGCTTCTCGAGCCTCGTGCTGCGCAGCACGCCGCGTCGGAGGTGCGAATGGCTTGGCCCAAAAGTGGGGGGGGGGCGGAAGCCCGGAAGTTGGTGGAAGTCACCACATTGAAGTGTTCCAGAGAGATGCTGTATTAATTTCTTGCCTTGATTTCATGAGTAGGCTGCAGGTTCATCAAGTTGGGGACCACATCGAATCGATCTTTCATTCGAATCGCTTTGCACCCGACGGGCCCCTTGCGGCACGGAACCTCCGACGCCCAAAAGGGCGAAATGTTCAGCAACTTCAATGCAACTTCACAGCAAACGCAGCCGCCACCGTTGATGCCGCTGAGCTTAGATAAACATCTCCAGGACTAGTCATCGCATCATGATCCCTCACTTGGGAACTCCACTGACCCCCTGGTGTTTCTTCTTCTGGATCGCACCCGCTGGTGGCACAAACCTTGGACCAACCAGCGGGGTGGCACGCCTCTGCTTCTCCCGAAATACACTTCGACTGGCTTGCATGGTCTCCATCCGATCGACCAGCCGTTTGGCCTCGTGTGGAAGACTTCATCGGCCTGGAGGTGAGAATTGGGGACGGTCGGATGAGAATTGTTCTCCTTCTCAACTTAAAATTATGGTTTGCATGTAACCATCTTGAGATATATAAAGGGATCAATAGACCATGGATCGATGGAGAAATATCACCATCTTGAATTCCTGAGATGGTCGTTTCTGAGAAAGTGATTAATCTACAAAGGACACCAAGAGATCAATCTGTCACTGCCAAAATGTTCTATGCCCAATCTCAGCCCTGGCGGCAAAAACCATTTATCAGGTTCACTCAAACTAATTGACGCGAATCCTCAGACGAGCCAAAAAACAACATGCCCTACAGATCCCGAAAACAGCCCTTTTTTACGTGCCCCAAAAAAAAGTGCCCGAACGTGAGACAAGTGACACTGGTCTTTGACTTCAGGTTCAGCTCCATCTGTATGAAGCTATTGTCCTGGTGGAGTCGACCATTCCAAGCGACCCGTCTTCGTCCAAAGCCGAAGACGGAGAGCGGTGGGGCACCGAGGGCCGAGGATCACCGATGTGGAGCCGGGGGAAGACGAGCCATTTCTGGGCATGTGCGGTGGAAGTCCCTTCCTCCAAGCCTCAAGGAAGTGGAAACTCACTGTTGGTAGAGGAAAGTCGTCATCCCAAAAAGACTAAAGCGTCCACTGCTTGTTGGATAGAGGGTCAAAATGATCAGGAACCTCTCACATCTGCCAGCAGTGTTCAACATGTGCGGCTCAATCCAGCCTTTCTTCCTTGGTGGTTTCACCAAACTGCTTTCTGAAACCGAAGGTCGGTCAAAGCCGACATGTGGTCAGATCCTAAAAATCAACAAACCCACCTTTGTTGATGTAAGAACTCAAGCAGCTGGAACAGTGGAAACCCCCAAAAAGAAGGATCACCGTAAAAAAGAAGAAAAAAGCTCGAGGCATAGGCCATAGGCATCTATAGGCTATAGTCATAGTCCTCGTCCAATTAGCTTGTTCCAGATGACTTCCTTCAAACAGCCAGAACCTCAGGTACTCCCACAGCTTGGGGCCTGTCCTGGGGACTGCACTCGCTGGTCACTGAACACTCATCGCGGCTCGTGGCCAGCCATACGAAGCATGCTGCAGTGAGAAAACCTCCCGGGTCGGAGAATTGCATCGCTTCAAACGGTTCTTTTTTGAGCGAAGATGGAGCACGCAAGACCTAAGGTCGGAACAGCGGTGTTTGCTGGGGATCCATAGGGATCCAGAGGGGTTCATAGGGTTCATAGGTGTCCGTTCAGGTGGACCTTTTATTGAAAAAAAAGGAAGGCAGTTGACCAACTCTAGGTGAGCATGGGGATGAAAAAAACCGCAGGGCTCGCCCGCCGGCGAGGTCCCGCCTCTCATGGGCGCCGTCGCCCGGCGCCCTCTACAGAAGCGGCCAGGGTCCCACCGTGAGGTGTCGGTTCGGCATCGACTGCGCCGGATCTCGAGCCAAGATCCAGCTTCGGTCACCGAAAAGGGTGTCTTCGGGGTTCGAGCAACAACAACGCTAATGGGAAACGAAACAGGAACCTGCTACCAGTAGTGTGCGTTCAGGCGGTGCAAGTTCGTTGACAGTTACCACCTTCCATATCACTTCCTGCAACTTCTGAGGCGCTCGGCTCAAGTTTGTCATGAGCGCCATCTTGGCTCCTCTCTATGGTTCCTTGTTTTTTTGCGAGGCTTTGGGAACTCTCAAGCCAGGCCAACACTCGATAGGTGAACACTGCAATCCTGTAGCACTCTCCAAACCAGCCAGGCCAACATGCAGGTCTCGCCCCTCACGGGGATATCCACCTGCGTGAAGAATTTCGAAGATCAGCGGCTTTGGCTTGGCTGCACCAGCTTGGTTGCACCAGCTTCTTGACTTCCCATCCGGTCGACTTTTGAGAACGAACAGGGCGTTGCATTTTTGTTTCCTGGGCTTGCCTGAGCGGGTGCTAATCTAAGTCGGCTGGCCAAGGTGGAAGCTCCTAGGCACACATCGATTTGTCAAAAAGAAGTCCCTTTCCCAACCACATATGGAAAAAAATTGTTATTGCTAAATAAACTCCGATTTACGCCGCTGGACCGGGACCCAACCCCCTTCCCCGCGCGGCACCCGTTCGAAGGAGAGAGGACAGCGAAGCTTGAGCTTGTTGGAGAGGACGCAAGTCACCTCACCAGGAGATCGTCGCTGGAATTCAGATAGACTGGGGCCCTGAGAGTCCAGTGGATGATGGTGAAAATGGTCGTAGAGTCTTTAGATGACCCCGATGTCAGGAACCTCCTTTACTTCAGTGGTGCCAAATGCCAAATTGTAGTCTTTGGACTTCGGGCAAGCGTCAAAGGTGTTTTTGAGATGTTTGAGATCTTCGGATCGTGGCATCAAAAAACGAAAAGATCTCCAAACGTCACAAGCAAGAGCATCTCCATCCAAGAAGGATCGTAGCATCCATCTCTTCATGTCAAGGGCGATGATGGGTGGAGTGGAGTTTTGTTGTGGTCCAATGAAATAGCTAAACATAGCTAAACACAGGCACAGGCACAGTTGAGGGCAGAAATTCTCAGACAGCTACTCAGCTACTCCACTGATCTTCAAGTGGGTTCAGACTTCACCTCTGAAACTGAAACCACACCTTTCAGGAAGCTCTTCTTTCCCCTAAACGATCTTTGCTGAAAGCAGCAGGGTCAGGTTGAATCAAGACCAGTGAAAACCACTAGAGATCTTCAAGTCCCGTATATGTCACCAAGACAATCCTTCCCCCCACCTCCTCATCGGAATCAATGGTCGCAGTGCCATTGGGTAGCTCTGGCTCGGGAGCTGGCTTTGCTTCATCTTTTTCATCCGCATCCTTCTCTGGAATGTCCTTCTCCTCAAGCTTGTCAGGCTCTGCCTTGGGGGCGTTCTCTGCATCCTCCATCTTCTCATCTTCAGGCTCCTTCTGAAACTCCTCTTTGGCATCGCCATTCTCCACCTCCTTGATGCCCCTGCCAGGTGCTTCGTCGTGAAGCCGAAGTCTATGATCAGGTCGGTGATCGAAAATAGTCATCTTACAAAAGAAATGTCAAAAATCCTTAACAAACCGGTTTTTTTCCGGTACCAGTCACCAGTCGAAAAAGGTTCTTAGGCAAACCAAGTGTATCACAAAAATGTTCAACCAAAAAAAGCTGCGGCTTGGCACAAATTGATCACAAAATCCGGTGGTGCAAAGCGACCCCTCATCCATCCCCACCATGTGACGAACTTCAGGATCCACCCAGGGGGGGCTGGACCCTTGTCATCCGAAGATGGAACCCATCCACAGCGCAACGGCGCAACGGGCAAAGTTCTACCGATCCAAACCAGCTGCTTTGTCTGCTTGTTTGGTTGTAAGATGCTATACTCTGGGAAAGAAATAACAAGCCAGTTGGTTCTATTTTTGACATGTAAGTTCTGTGGCTCTTTGGTTTGTTGATTTGGGGGCTATTGGGTTGATTCTTTGGTTGGTCATACAAACTGAGCTTCCAATCTGCACCCTGTGATATGCCTGAACACCACAAAAAAATGGGTCCATCATTCATGGTCCCTCAACAACTTCACACCGAGACGAAATGGGCGTGATGTCTTGAAACAACCGCTGTGACCGAAGCTCTCGCTCCCAACAGTGCTGCCGCCACAAACAAGCCGAGGCTGACCATGTATCCTTTAACAGCATGCAGACACGCCGTAAGGCATCGTCCTGGATGAAGCCCGGCGTATCAGTCAGGTGGCCGAACCCAGGTTCGGCCCGCCCGGGGGGGTTCTGGAGAAAACGACCGCTTCAAGGAGTCCGGGGACTTTTGAGGCCTGACCGGTGGGAAGAGACAACGGTGGCCCTTTTTTTCAGCACAGCAGTGTCAAGACATGTCAAGACGCATGCTAAGACATGCGCAAAAACGTGATCCTGTCTTGGCTTCAACAGAAGCTTTTCTCACTTGGCCCTCTCAAAAACAAAGAAACCTTCGTGCCTCAAAATTGACTTATCAACATGCTTTCAAAACACGAAAAAGAAGGTCGGATTGCTGCGCCGGGCGAAGCCCCAAGGAGCTGCAAAAAAGATCCATGAGGTGAGGAAACTGGTCAAATGGTCAAACACCTTCTGGCTTGCTCGCGCGTCAGCGACAACTCCAACGTTGGAGTCGCCGCCCCAAACAAACCAGTCCGCACGTGATCCCACACCGCCAGGGGGAACTCCGTCGTTGATCCGGTCGCTCCTCCTCGCAACTGTTGGTGTCCTCTGCGATCTGTTCCGCGGTGCGGGGCTGCGTCCGCACCTCCGGAAGCGCAGGGTCGGGGTCGCGGAGGGTCGGAGGGGTCGGAGCGCAGCGGACGGTCGCAGTGGGTGCCAAGTGCCAAGTGAATCGGAGGTCGATGGGATCTAAACGAACAAGCCTCTGCACTCTGGGACTGTGAGTCATCTACCGCAAACTCAGAAAAATTCGAGGGAGACCTGCTACGAGGACTGGAACCAGTTTTTGGGGGAAGACCAAACGAATGAATGAATCGGCGGGGTTCCCGGATGCGATGTTTGCGGATCGGTCCCATGGGTCCCCAGCTCCAGGTTTCTGGCGGACGACGTTTGCCAATCGGACGATGGTTTTCTCCCTGGAGGAATGGTTGACTTCTACCATGCGATGTGAATAGAATATGTATCATAGGAAAGGATCAGGGAGGCACCCAAAAAGGAAAAAACGTTCGATCCTGAGGTGGGCATACATGAATCCTCTTCCACCCCCGCAAAAAATGCGTTCACGAACCGCCGGAAATGGATGCGAAAGCCCGAGATTGCCGCCAAGCAGCAATGGCAAATGCATAGCTGGAAGGATGCTCATCCTCTATGGACACTGTGACACCTAGGCAGTTCATGCAGTTCACAAATGGCAGTTCATGCAGTTCGCCCTTCCGGCTCCCGAAATGGCTGCACAGATCGAAAAAAGCCACCCGAACTCTCGTGGCTGGCGGCGCCAGCCGCGTCTCTCGCGGTGCTGCCAAGGAACTGTTCATGCCGGGTCTCAAGCCCGCGGAGATGTCCTTTGGGACCTGAAGAGAAGAGAAGGAAGACATGTGGAAGCCTGGAGACATGACTTCCGGTGGTAGACATGACTTCTACATGAGGTCCCATGGATTCCGACATTCACCCTCTAGCTGCTAGCGACTTGATTCAGACTTCCGGGGTGGTCTGTGGTCCCCCATGGTCTGTGGTCTGTACGTCTCAAACGGCCGAAGCTGGGGACACTCAGATTCAAGAGGCAACGTCCCCAGTCCGCCACTGAAGACAGGCGTCATGTAGAACCTGCCAGAGCCATATGTTTGTCCACCACACCTCTATTCGGCGTGGGTGAGGAAGAGCGGTGAAGCACAAGTGAGTCAACAGAAACCGCCAAGGTCCTGAATAGGCACCCTCAAGGAACGCGCATATGACTTCAGGAAACATCGCTGACATAGCTCTGAAGCGGAGATTCCAACACCAAACCGGATCTCGAACTCTTGGATCCGAAGTCACATGCTTGAGTCTACCTGCATGGCAGGCGAGACCGCTTCAAACTGTACAGTATCACCCCACCTACAGGAGGAATGCCAAACCCTATCAGCCTGTCCAATCATGTGCTCTCGCACTTGAGCAACCCCCCAAGTTAGAACCAGAAACCCATAGGGGCCGTGGCTGCATCCGCCATCGCCATCACCAACATCGTGCCAAAGGCTCGGGATGCCGAGTTGGGGCACGTCCAAGGTGCCAAGGTGCAACGAAACCACCATCGCCCTTGAAGACCTCATCACAGTTGCTACAGGGCAGCCACGATCAGATCGGCGCAGGATCTTCGGCCCCACCTCCCTGCAGAGTAACATGGACCCCCCCTGTCCCCCCAACAATCTCCACGTGATTTTCCCCTTCAATCTCTTTTTTGGCGTCCATGAAATCTCTGTGGGGGACCCTGTTTCGAACCAGAGAAACATCACAGGATATATAAATTTGGTGATGTCGTCTATGTCAAAGAATCTTCCGGGTCCATGTTACTCCGCAGGGCTGCTGGTTCTGCGGCCGTGTGGACCGATTTGCACTGCAGCTGCACCTCTTGGGCCTTCTTCGATGCGAGCGAAGGACCTCCGCGTGTGGTTCTTCAGCTTCGGGATCTGAGCGGGGGGCATCTGACAGCAGGACAGCGCCGTTCGGACGGAAGAAGGCGTGCGGACCAGTGTGCAGACTTGCAGACTACGAACAATGCCAAACATGACAATCATTCAGGATCCTGCTACAGGTCATGAATGGAAACAAAACATGCCCCCGAAGACTGCTGGGTGTTTAGACTGACTGATTCTCTTCTCAAACAGTTTGCACTTGCACTGGGAATGTTTGTTACTGAAGTGCATTACCACAGGAGACTTATGTCAAGGAGCTCATGGCAACTGAGATAGATATTTCACGCTGCAATGACCCAAAAAAGGGGGATTTCCCTGTTCTCTTGCGATTCACAGCCAGATCCCCGGAAAGTGCCCTCTTCATGAGGTCGTCGCCATGACCGGGCAAATTCAGCATCCTGGAGGTCAGATGTGAGCCAGATTCAGTGAAAGGCATGGATCAAAACAACTCGACCACAAAACAGGAGTGGAACATCACTCCCAACTCTTGCAATTGATGTTGTGCGCTCGTTTTGGTTGCAGCATACCTCTCCTTTGAAGCCGCCAGACATGCCGTTTTTCTTGCGCCACTTTTGTGCAAAGGCCGGTTCAAGGGCATTCCATTCCCCTCCTCACCCTTTGGGAACCTGCCCATGTTGGCCTCTGATCCGATCCCGATCTTCCGCCTCATCTGCATCCACCTAGGAAGGCACGGTGGATCCACTGGGCCTGGCGCCCTTGGGGCTCCGGGCGTCTCGTCGTACATGGCCTTCTTCCGGAGGTTCTATTCGAAAGACCTCCACCGCGCAGCTGCCGCGCCAGGCGTGCACGACGCGCACCGTTCTGTGAGGCCGAGGACCTCCTTTTGCCGCTGGCCGAAAAAGGAACAACTCCTTCCTTCAAAAGGGCCATCTGAGGACATGCTCATTTTGGGTGACGTCTCTGACATCTTTGAGGATCATTGCCTAAGGTAAAGCTAGCTGTGACGGAGACGGCGCCACGATCGACACCTCCGCACCGTTGATCACCACGATGAGCTTGGTAGGCCAAACCTGGAGGGCGCTCGGGCCGAGCACCGTGACGCCCCATGGGGCGCCATGAATCCATCCTTTAAAGGAAGAACAGTGGTTCTTCATGGGCCTTGGAGAAACCACCACCCAAGAGTCATAGCTCTTTGTTGTTGGCACCGCAAAAGCATGCAAAACATGTTTAACACGCAAAATAACCGAATAGAATACATAAACAACTAAATAACACGGTTTTGTGTGTCATACTATTGCCATCTACTATCTTCATTGGCTCAATCAGTCTCCACTTGGCTTCAGTACCTCATCGAACCCCCCAAAAAGCGAGAGCCTTGGCGGCACCCGAACGTCTCGCCTGCGCCGTGATGTCGCTATTCACCTTGATACACCTGGCAGACTGATTTGGACCACCAATCTCCAACCAAACGCCAACCCCCAGCGGATGGGCTTTGCGATGTGTTGGGCATCAGCGTTTTTGGGGTTTGCGTTGTGTGGTGAGCTGCGGTTTTGAGACGAAACCACACATGGCCTAAGAAGCGAACGGATGGCCTAAGAAGCGATTGAAAACCGACCACTGAAAACCGAAAGCCGAAAAACATCACACCATCCATTGCAAGTTCCTCACACGAAGAAAGAAAATCGACCACCAAAACCCCTTGGTATGTGGGGCATCTTATTTAGGTTGGACTCTCTCGCGGACTGCCACCGGTATGTTGGGGTGGACCGAGCACGGAAGAACATCCACCTGAGCGGACCAGAAATACAAGAACTATGTATACAGTATACACATGAACTTCAGTAGCACGCTTCATATGACCTAAATGGATCTGATCAGTGGATGTCAGGTCTGGTTTCTGGAGTGCTTTTGCCATTGGATGTTTAGGCTTCCCAGCCCTTCCAGCCTCATCGTGGGTCAGCCAAAAACCTTGAAACTCTCATGCATCACCTCCATCTGCTATACGCCCGCACCCAACGACCGCAAGACCTGCATCCTTTGAACAAAAATATCTCCGCCCGAGCCGAACGGCTCTGCCAGCTCCAAAGCGGGACCTCGCGAAGATACTTTGATCCTCCTTGCGCCATGCCCTGCGACGGGCCGTGGACCACGGACCATGGCTTTCTCTTGAAGACTTGGAGGAATGAAGTTCCTCACCGGTGAATGAAGACTTGGAATGTAGGGCACGTGAATCTAGATCAAGAAAGTTCATGCAACAAGGACAATACAGCCATAAGGGCTCAAGGTTTATGCTCGAAAGCATGAAAGCAAAGGAAAGCACCCATTGTTTTGAAGGACCAAAGCAGCTCTTAGGCAGCCTCACCGCTTTTTCCGGGGCACACCAAAGAACTCCAGGCTCCCTCTCAACACCCTCACCAGTGATCCAGTGGACACTCAGTGGCGCACTTGAGTTCCGGCAGGTCGAGGTTGAAGGAGACGCTCGGCCGCATGAACATGTGATGTCTGAGGATACCTGGCACCGGAACGGCCGGAAACACGGTCCGCAACGGCGAAGCGGCGGGATCCCGGAGTCCCCACGAGGTGGGTGACGCAAGACCCCCCAAAGGAAAAATGAAACCTCTAAGGCTCTATATAGAGGAAAGAACAATAAACGTGGTCTGTGATTGACACATCTCTAAAGGTCAAGGGCTCCAAGTACCTCCTCAGAAGGTATTTGGACCCTCTAAACCCTCCCCAAACACCTTCTAAGAAGGTACTTGGAGCCCTAGGGTATATAAACGTCAAGGGCTGCCCCAGCAAACCCACCACCAGCGCAGTTCCTCCGAAAGTCGTTTGCCCATGTTCCCCGGTGCTCTACCGGGTGCTCCAGATGGGGGTCGGCACGGCCTGATTGCTCCACGATGGCATTGAAGGGGTCCAGGTGCCTGGACGGAATTCCAGGCAGAAACGATGGCGGGTGACCGCAAAGCAGGTGGAAAACGGGACTCCAACATACTTCAAAGCTGGAGGGTCGGTCTGGGAACTACTGGGAGGTCAAGTCGGACCTTTGGATGGATGAGAACCGGACCCAACCACAGCGGATCAGGATCTGAGCGCAACGTTCCAACAAGAGGTGGACTTGAGATCCACTTGGATTTGAGCGCCTGACGCTACTGAGTTTGGATCTACATGCTAGGCATGTGCATGTTGCTCAGGTGCCTCACAACCCGCTGTCAGTGAGGATGAACCCGATGCTTCTCTGTGGTTTTCAGGATTGATGGATGGCAGGGCCATACGGAAAACACTGCAAGCCGCCACATTCAGTCTAATAAAAGCATAAAAGCACAACTGTCAGCTACCTCCGCTCCAAAAAAGGATCAATGCAATGATGTCCTGGAGAGATACCCATAAGGATGTAAAAGGCCATCAAAGGATCCATGTCCGGGCCACTTCCCATCTGTTCCCATAACCGAGCACCTGAAGCGGCATAAGGGGCACCAAAAATTCTCAAGCGCCCGGGTGTATTCAGCTGTTTGCAGGTCAAAGTCCTGGAAACAGTACCTCAGCGCCAAAAGCGAGTGCAGCGGCGGTTTCGCTGCAACTTCGATTCTTCCCACAAGGGCAGAAGGACCGGAACACTCCAAAAGAAGAAAAAGAAAGCCGTGAGATATCCATGAGATATTGAGATATCAAGAATCTCAGAAATCTCAGAGCATCCTGACAGAATGTGCACCGTTTTCACCCCTGAGGGGGAGCACGTGCATTTCAGCATTCGGGCGGCCAACATCCCAATGTGTCCAATCTCGCTCTCTTTCGAGAAGGGCCCGGTGCCCAGCTTGTTCCTGGCGAGCGAACAACTTCGACCGGAAGAGTTGCGACTAAGAGAAACAACTGAGACATGTCGTGAGACTATGTTTAAGACTTCGTTTGGGGTATGTATGTATTTTCTTGATCTGGTTCACCATAGAGGAATGCATCATTCTGGTTACAAGCCCTGGGTTGACATGTTTCGATGTTTGCTCAGTGGAAGGGGAGGAAACACCAAAGCGCTCCCTCGAATGACCATCAGAGAATCCCACCACAAGAAGAAGAAAAAGAAGAAGAAGAAGAACAGCACAGGACCACTCTGGTGTCGAACCCAAAGTCATTCACTGGGTCTTACACCTGCAGAAGCCGGGGTTGTCAGCTATAGCTATATGTCTCTGCATCGGTTGTCAGCTATAGCAGTCGTCATTTTCCGCAGGTTCAAAGGCTCGCCGCTCGCTGTGAGGAAATGTCCAACAACACCCTCTCAGTGAGCTGGAGTGAGACTGGCAAAATAAGATCTGTTGATGCAGCCATCACTGAAGCTAATGCATGGCATTGTGCCATTCTGTACTCAGTATGTCTTCAGAGTCTACACACTCAGGACACTATAACCCCCTCAAAACCCTTGGCTGACATGTGAATCGTGCTTGTTTCTCTGCAGTTTTGGTCTTTCAACTTTGTATCAAGAGTTCCAAGGAGGGTATTTATCCGGAGATCTTCGGTCAGCTTCTGCCACCTTCCCTTCTCCCAGCGGCTCCACGGCCAGGGCTCCCCTAAAACCTACACCACCAGCGACAGCTTCGCTCCATGGGGCTGGGGACGAAGGCTATCGATGTAGATCCACTCCAAGGCCCGCGCGGGCGACAAGAGCTTGCAGTAGTGGTTCCCAGCGCCATAGGCGGGGCCCGAGAGCGGATAGAAGGCGTACCACGAGGTAATCTCCACGTCACGACCTCTCCCGCCCGCGCAGGAGGTAATGACATTGAATCTCTGAGCTTCTATTTCTATCTCATACCACTGCGTTTCGTTCCCTCGTGCCACTTCGTTTTGGTGTCAGCGACTTGGAAACACCCCAACACCTGGAAGTTCATTGGGCTCCCCAACACCTGGTCAGCTGCTTGGATGATCGCCCACTCCACCCAGTGTGGGTCCCCCAGTGTCGACCCACCGACTCAGATCCTATGGTAGTTGTCGACTCATCTCCAACCATCTCATCCAAGATGATAAACAGCTTATGAACTTGGGTTCCGATTTCCATGTCAGACAGCCGATCCCTAAACTAGGCCCTAAACCAGACAGATCTATCTTCTGACAGATCTCCAGGGCATCCATTCACCTGCCGCAGAAAAGGACACACCAAAGAACAGCCTTGGCTCCAAACCATTCACCTGCCCACCCATCGCCGGCCATCGCCTGTATCCTTAAAGTCCAAGTAGTTCCAAATCCACCAAGGCCCCGCAGGCGGCGTCGGCTTCCGGTCCGCCATCATCTTCAACGGCCTCTGAGCACTCAGGAACCGCTGCCGCGCGTCGGCGGAGGACACGTTCAGCGCTCGGCGATAGGCATCCTTTCGGCGTTGTGGGTGGCGTGGGCGGGCGGCGGAAGACCAGGTGGCCGGGAGCTGGTGGTGTTTGAAGCCGAAAACGTGGAGTTTTTTGGGTACCTCTTGGAGTAAAGACGGAAGTTTACTGACATGGAGAGAAGGCCAAAGTCGAAATGCACAAAAGCATGCAAACGAGGGTCCAATCCTTTGGGAAGCTTTGGAATAAAGCAAGTTCGTTCAGAAGAAAAATGGAATCCATGCACTCCTCGTTGATCTTTTTGCATCGATCTCCATCGTCGAGTTCGGGTGAGCTGGCTTTGCCACACACCTGGCCCGTCGGCGTCGGAGAAAATGTGAGAGAGAAACCGGTGTCGTTTCGACCGAAGTGTCGTTTTCGTTGCGGGGATGCTTCTGCCAACTTGCAGAGTGCGAAGTTTGGCAGCCTCTGGTATCACTTCATTCCGCAACCTACCACCATTTCCTGCCACTCATGACACGACCCCTGCTCTCACCCCTCATCTCTCATCCCCCTGAACCTTTCAAAACGGCCGGCCCAGACTCGTTCGGGCCTTCCAAGCCATCTCCCTGCTGGCCAACTTGGTGGCAATCTCCCGTGCCGACACGAAGCCCAGGCCGTCGTCCACCAGGTGCTGCTTGTGATCCGCCAGGACGCCCGCCTTGGTGACCAGGTGGCGCTTTCAACGTGCGGAGCTGCGGAACGTCAAGTGAAGGACCGAAGGATGGATCTCGATGGTCTTCCGATGAGACAGAAACCCCCTGTGCACCAGGCAGAAACCCCCGCCTTCTCTTCCTTGATCACGGCCCAACCATTCAGCCCGGCCGCCGCTTGCAGCACGGAGATCTCCACGTAGCGCAGCTGCGTCACTGTGGAACTGCTGAGGTGCATGCCGCCGGACGTCACGGTGAGGTTCGGACGGTGCCTGTGATCCGCCGGCTGGGAGCGATGCGAGACCGGCGAGACCGGCGAGACGGGCGGGTGCTTCGACTGATCAAAGTGTTCAGGTCGGCAAATGGCGAGGAAGAGTGGTTTGGCAGTTGGCAGTTGTGAGGAAGTATGTCAGAGAACAGTGGTGTCTCCCTCTATCTATGGGTTCATAAGTTCATGTTCTAGGATGTTCTAGGTCCTATAGGCACTTTGTGCATTCTAAAAATGTGCGTTGCTTCAATATTGAAGGATCATCAACAGGTGAATTATGCAACCGTTCGCCTTTAAGCCTCGAGGGCTTAAAGGATCCAATCGTCGGCAGCGGCCCCACTAGTGGCCCATCAACATTCCAGCATTCGCATTCCAAGCCGTCACAGCATCCTCTCAAGAACAAGACGAGAATCGGATCACACGTGCCCGGCCTAGTTCTGTAGTAGGGCGGAATCAACTCCTCATCACTCAGGAGATGGAACTCATCCGCCGCCGTGCCATAGGTCACATCCTCCGGCAGCGGATCCAAAAGCCGCTCCTGTGCACGAGCAGCCCAGCCACTGGATCCATTCTCATCGCTGTTGGAGGTCCACCACCAACTGCCCTCCTCTTCCACAAACATCTGCACCTCAGATGTTCAAGGGAGAGCAGACCGGTTGACCGGTTGACCGGTTCCCCCATAAAGACAAACCGGATCTTCCAGGATGTTTACCTTGAGATCTTCTTGACTTGGCCATCTTTCAGTAACATCTGCAGAACATTGCTTGCGCACCTCTTCCCGAAACACCTGGGAAACCGTGCACAATTCTGGGCAGACATCTTTCACTCTGAAGATGGATGAACAGCTGGTGACGTGTCGCTTTCCTGGCCGAAGTGCTTTCGTGGCCGCCCCCGGTCATGACCGACCCACCCATGGTCGCGACCGACCGACCGATCGAAACGGACTCGACCGACCCGTCGGCGGGGTTCGGGGACCGTGCCGTCCACGAGGGACGGGGGGCGTGAAAATGGACGCTTGACAGGGCACAAAGGGCTTGAAGAAGTCAGCCTCGTAGCTGCCTTGCAGGGAAGGGCAGGTGAAACGAAGAACAAAAGCCGCGACCGAACCTCCCGGCCGCCGAGCTCGGCAATGGGCAAGTCCCGACTTTGGTGGAACAGCACCCAAAAAAAATCCGCCTTCCAATCCGTGCCCAAAGAGTGTCAAAACCCCCAAAAAGGAACCTGCCAAACTCCCGGAGTCCAACTTCCGCTCACCAAAAGCACCCGGAAAGCTCACCACCCGCTGTCCTTCGGCCACCTTCTTCGCCACGAAGCTCACCACCAGCTGCGCCACCGCGGAGCGCGCCGCCAAGCCCCCACAGGTGCTGGGCAGGTCCAGCGCCGCCAACGTGGCCGGCAGGGCGTCGCCCACCACGAGGTCCGAGTGGCTCATCCCTGCGGGTAGGTCCGGTGGTAAGACTGGGCATGTTGGTTGGGTTTGGGGATGGTTTTGGGTAGGGCGAGATATGGGGGGTTGCGTCAGGCAGTTGCTTCCCTCAAAAGTTCGAAAACCCGATGTTCAAGAAGTTTGAACCATCAAACGAACCTCTGGTAGGTGCCGTTGCTTGGATGCTCCAAAAGAAAGGCACCAACACTCACAACACGTGGCCAAAATGCCCGGTTGGCGCCTGGCACCAGTTTCACCACGTGTTGCGGCACAGCTTGTTGGGTGTACCAGGCTTCCGCCATCCGGGAGACTCGCACCACTCCGTCCATCTCACCACCCACGCTCAGCGAGGGCACCGGGTAGCTGGGTGTGGGGATCGCTTCCTCCGAGCGGCAGTCGTGAACCCCATCCTGGCGGGCACACGCGCTCGGACGGCCGTCGCTCGGACCGCTGGGACAGCCGCGTGGTACCACAGCAGCTTCTCCAACCCACTCAAAAACCACCAACCTGTTGCTTCGACATCTCCGAAGAAGAGCATCAGTATATCAGTCCTGTAAATACCCGCCCGGGCAAAAGCCCTTGGGACACCTCACGCTGGGCTGCTTCTCCCAGGTCTTGGCACAGGCCACCAGACTTGGGCGCCAGCGGCGTTCCAAGAAGCCCGCCAAGAGGATCAAGCCGTCCCCTGCACCGGTTTGCTGAAGTAACCCAGGTAGTGCTAGCCCAGGTGGTAGCTCAGGCACCAGCCCTTCGGTTGCTAGCCCAGGTGGTACAGCTTTGGGTTTTTGGGGGGCATCCGTGACCCAGAGATCGTTTGGAAGCCTTCTTAGTGGCCAATCACTCAACTAGGCCTTGGCCATCTGGAAGACCCTGGCTGAACCACTTGATTGGTTTCATCGTGTTCGGTTCCAGTCGAGAACACCGCACCAACCAAGTTTCCCATTGAATGCTTCTGCGTCTATCTGTGCTGAAGAACGAGGCCTCCGGGCCTGGCTTCCAAAGATTTGAAAGGGAAACATGGTCAATTTCACAGAGTTGTCTGGGTCGTCTTTGGTCTTTGTTGTCGTTTTTCTTGAGCTATGCCATTTGGGGTGACACCAAGGACATTCGCAGGAATGAATGACATTCTGACTCATGTTTCATGGAAGTGGTAACTTGGTAACCCCTCTGCTTGATCTTCGGAAAAAAAAGGGTATATCAATCAGGGCATAAAGAACCACGGGTGCCGGATACCCTTCGTGCGGGGAGACCCATGCCCAAGTCCCCACCTTTTCTTGCAGCAGCCACTTCTTGCGCTTTCGATGCTCCACCATTGGCGCCCATCCCGTGGCCCATGTAGATCGAGGCAGACTGAGAAGGCGTGTCAACGTCTGTGTGTAGGACGGAGCTTTGAAGACTTTAAGCGCATTTCATGATTTGTCAAGAGGTGCTTCACAACTCCACCTTCAACATCCACTCATCTCCCCCGTTCTCATCTCTTCTCCCACTTCTTATCCCCCCTCCCTATCAGTCGAAACACTTCCCTGCACTCCACCCTCCCTTCCCCTTCCAACCACCCGTTGCCCTTCCCTTCCACCATCCCACCTCATCTTCCAGGTCCACGAAGTGCAACTGAAGCCCTACCGCTTCTCCAGCCGCCTGGATCTCCGCCAGCAGCGGCGCGTAGCCATCGGGCACCACGTCCGTCCGCCCGGCAAAGCCGATCGACACGCTGCGCTCTGCGGCGGCCACAGAGCAGAGGAGCAGCGTAGCGACGCGCGCCGCACGGCGCAGCGCCATGGGAAGAGGGAGGAACGAAGAAGTAAAGATGATGAGAAAAGCGGTAAAACATGTTGTCCAAAGATGTGTCTGAGGTCTGAGGTGGAGTGCAGTATATTTATGTATATTTGCTGTTTTGTTGCATTCAATGTATATAATTACTCTGTGCTTGAAACAGCTTCGACACTCTTCGTGACAAGTGAAGGGCATCACTACCAAGTGTCCACATTCTTTTGAAGCCAGGAGTCTTTTCAAAGAAATGATTTCATCCCCCATACTCAACCACAAGTCAATGTGGCATGCTCCGCTGTCTGATCTCTACTTTGTGCAAGCCTGGTCATGTGTCCACTTGCCAAAAGCAGTTTCCCGTGTTCTGACCCAATTCTGCAGACAAATACCTCACCTCAAGCGCCCAATGAGGTTCTGTGTGTTGGGCACTTCCATGCAAAAAAGCCCCTGGGATTTTCATGTCCAGGCTTACCATGTCTTTCAGTCCAGGCTTAAAATGTCTTACAGTCCAGGTCGCGACTCATTTCGCGGTCCGGCCTGAAAGCCACGCAGGCCTCGAAGCGGATGCCGAGGGGAAGCCCTCGCCTCGGCCGTCGTGTCCCATGCGCAAGAGGTTGAAAGACCGGTGATTGAAAAGGGATGGTTTTGGACGTAGATTGGGCACCCACCATCAAAACCACCTTTTTTGGGGGGTAGAACTTCCATCAAAAGCGCTCAACAAAACCAAGCTCAGACGGGGTAAGAGTGCCATCGGAAGCCTTTTCGTCACCTCTTAAGCCTGGGTGGCACGGCGCCATCCTCCCGAGAGTGGCTTCTAGGTGTCCTGAGATCAGGCATTCGACGCATCGCTGGGAAAGGTTTTCCTTGGGTCCACCTGTGCTGTGCTGCCTCAAGGACAGCTTGTTCAAAGCCCTCATTCCAAACAGAAACTGAACTCAAAAAGTTCCTTCTCACCTACCCTGCATGATCTTGGGCTTCAGCCACGGAACATGCCTTCTGACCACCAACAGAGGACCAGGCTGACCAACTTTGGTCTGGGGCCCCTGCACATCGACTTCGGTCTGTGGAAATGGGATGAGATCCGGCTCCTGACCCAGGGACCGGTCGAGGCCCGACCGGACCGTGACCGATGTCCACCGGTTGGAGTGGTGAAAAGGAGGACAACGGCGGTGGGTGTTCTTTCAAATCTGGTCTTCCTCAATGGCCTGTTTTGGGCGGAATTCTGGTTGTTTGGAAGGTATCGTGCTGCTTCTTCACTGTACAACCACTCAGAATAGACTCAAAGGTCAACAATCTAGCTTCCATCTTGGATCTTCTTGCTTCTCTATCCCGCTTTTCTCAGATCTGGCCGCACCTTTTCAGGAGAGACATCAATGAGCGCTCCGCTGCTGGGATGTGCCTCAAGAGGCAGTCACTGCAGAACCTTCCAAAGAAGTGAAAAGCCCTCCCAACTCTGCTTCCCCAAGAAAACAATGACATATCTCATATCTCTAGCCATCCATCGTTCAAATTGAGTTTCCACCACTCCCCAATACCCTTCATCCATCTCTTACGCCTTACACCAACCACCGAAAAGAAAACAAACATCGAAAACACCCCTCCCCTCCACCCCCAACAAAACACCGTAGTCGTCCCCAAAACGTGTTGCACCGGACCGAGTCCACGTCCACATCCAGGACTCCTCCGTCGTGGCCGTCGGGGCCCCGGCGAAGAGCCACTTCCGGGCGCCCACGGCGCGGAAACGCACCAGCGCGCCGCTCAGGGGCGGGACCTCGGGAAGACGGAGCTCCCTCCGCTCGAGAAAGCCGGGTCTCTGGTGGCGGTGCGAAGCGAAAAGGAGATCCGAAAGGGGAGCTGGGGGCGGGGCTGGGGGCGGGGTGAGCTGGGGGCGGGGGCTTAGGGGGGGCTGGGGACTGGGACCGAGGTGGATTTGTGGATCTTGGACCAGAGTGATGTGGGAGGCCCAGCCCACCGAATTTCAAGGAGCAGAGACCAAAAGTGGAATCACAGAACGTCTTCTGAGAGCTGGCGAGCGGAACAGTTCCGCAAAGGGCACGATCCCATCCCAAAGTCTTGAAGGGACTGGACAAACAGCCCTTCTTCTGGAGGGTTGAAAGTGAAAGTGATCCTCCCCAAAAGAACTATCGATTAGTTTCATTATGGATCAAACCTGACGGACATTTTTCCGCCAGCCACAGGGTCCTTGCCCCGACTTGAGCCACGGCGTACGTGGCTTGCTTTGGTACACTTCTTGTTTGTGCGTTTCAGCCAACAGGAGACGGAATTCACATCGCTCCTACTTTACATTGGCTGAAACGCTGTTTGAGCTCTTTGGCTCCGACTTCGAACAAGGTCCAGTACGCAAGTTTCATGATTCCCCTCAAAAAGCTAGCAGGGCCTTTCTTAGTAAGGGCATCCGAAATCATGATTTCCCCCCCCGCCACCCATCGCAGCTGTCCTCTTGTTTGCTGCAAGTCATTCTTCAGAATCGTCAGGTCGATGGCTGTCCTCTTGTCATCCACGTGCGATGCAATGTTAGTTGACTTGCTCAAATTGTCGAACAGCGAGCGAGAATCTGTAACTGCAATAAAGGGGGTCCTTCCGATCTGCTGTTGCCAGTTGGATAGGTTCATTCGGAGGCCTTTGATCTCCGACCACATGAATCGAATCCAGTAGGAGGCTCCAATTCCATAGATCATGGCCTGGGCTTCGGCAGCTAAAGTGTTCACAGTGCATCTTTTCAACTTATAGCTTTTCCATCCCAGGATAGAAATTGGTTGAGGAGCTTGATCTACTTCTAGATCCTGATGGTATGCAAAGACGATGTGACCTCCGTGGCTATGAGTTCGTCCAACTTGCAAAAACTTTTCGTGGATTTCCAATCTGGTCTTTGACTTCTTTTTCATGAAAACTGTGTGCCCTTTCCAGATGCTTTCACCATGTTTTCGAACATCTTCTCGACGATTCCAGGTGTCCTCAAAGAGTTCGCCGTCAATCCAAGTTGCTCGTGCTCCCTCTAGTTCATGAAGTTGAGGTCCACCGGTTGCTGCTCCTGGATGAAAGAGTAGATGTCGAGGTTGAACATGGTGTCGAATCCATAGGTCTCCTCTTTCTTCCCAGAAATCCTTGCTTTGTTCTTCAAGTTCAGGACATGGAGAGTTTCCCCAGCTTGCATCCGATGCTGAACCAATTCTGACCTTCTGGAACTCGATTGGCATGATGGTGATGCCTGTGTCGATCTCTGCAGTAGCCTCTTTTGCTAAGGCGTTTGCTTCTAGTAAATCACGGATGTAGGGCTTCGGCATGCATTGTTGGAGGATGCGAACTCTTCCAATGAGATCTGGTCTGCTTTCTTTGGCCAACCATGCAAGTGCTCCCAGTAGTGCTCTCAAGGTGGAGATCTCCGTCTCGCTGCACAAATTGTACTTTTCCATTCTTCTTTCTTTGCTGATGGGTATTGTTTTGATCTTCTCCTTGACGTACATTTGTTGATGGACTCTGATTCTTCCATCTTTCAGGCATTGGATCTCTTTTCCAACGAAACGTCCATCACCATGTGAGAACTTTCCGAGCTTATAGTTGTCTTTGATCCATTGCATCTTTTCCCAATGCCTCTGTCCTCCTCCGTGTAGTAGGTCATCGGTAGCCACTCCTATGATCCCTTCGATCTGTCGTTCTTCCATCTCTGGTCGTTCCACATGTTCTGGTTTGTCGAAGAGGAAGAAAAGGCAGGGATCGGCTTGAGACTGTTCATATCCCAAACTTTTGAGAATCCTCTGAAGGTGGCTGTACCACTGGTATGGACCATCCAGCAGGCCATAACAGTGCTTTTTCAATCGAAGGAGTTGTCGGTCTTGTACTCCTGGAAGTCCTTCTGCGGGGAGTTCTGCAAATAGAAGGCGAGATATCTCATCCCCGCTATGGAATGCTTGGGTAAAGTCCAAGTATCCCGGGATCCATTTCTTTGATCCCAAGGTTTGGAGAACCAGTAAAACTGTCTCCGGAGCGACTTGAGGTGTTGCCGCTTCCAACCATTCGGAGTCCGGCTCACTAAAGCCCTTCATCACATGTCGAGCTTTTGCTTTGAATCCTCCGTGTTCATCTTCATGAAGCAGTAGTCCATCGTCTTTGATCTTCGGGACCTCATCTGGCTCGATTCGCTTTTCGACCAGTACGTATCGAGATTGTAAGATGTGATGTCCTTCTCGTCGAATCTTCTCTGACTCTTCTGGTGAGAGGATCTCATAGGCTCCCGTTTGTATATTGTTGTCAACCTCCTTTTTGGTGGCTTTCCAGAACTTCGTCCGGGCCTCTTGTAATAGCTCTTTAAGCTTTATTTCTTTTTGTCCTTTTTGCTTTTTGATCTCGGGCGTCAATGTCGTCATCATCACCTCGATCCAGTCAATTCTTTGTCGTTTTGCAGGTCCAGGAGGGTCACTTTCTTCAGCTTCTTCTAGAGCTCGGGACATTCCTCGAGATTCTTTTGTTTGTTCTTCTTCTTCCTCTCTCCTCGCCTTTTTCTCAAAGCCTGTGGCTTCTTCTTCATCATCTTCCATTGTCCTCTTTGTTCCATGTTCTTCCTTCTCTTCTCGCATGCTGGAATCCTCATAGATCTTCTCCTGGTGTGTTTTCTCTGCCTCGGTCTTCTCCCATGGCAGTGGATCATCATCCATTTGAAACTCTGTTCTTCCTTTCCAGCGATGGTCTTGTAGAAGAGGTTCTCCTTGCCACTCATCGACTATTTCTTGTGTGGTCCCATCCTCGAAGTACATGGTGGTCCTCCTTTGCGCCTTGAGTCGGTTGTAGTCGATGGGACAATCAGCCACGTCATTTGGCTTGAAGGTTGTCTGCCTCCATTGTCTGTGGAACCTGGTCAACGTTTTATGAGTTTCATGCCATAGCCATTCATCTTCTTCTGGCTTCATCTCGACTTCCTGACTGGATGTTTTTCCTTCGATCTTGTATTTTGGTCTCTTCGGTTCTTGGTCGAGGTTTAGTCCTCCATCTTGGTCTAGTTCTTGGTCAAGTTCTTCTCGAGGGCTCTCCTTCGTCAGGTCAATGTATCCCGACTTGGGTTCTTCTTCTAAGATGTGCCGTAGATTCGAGAGGCCCTCCATCCATGATGATAAAGATTGATGTTCTTCAGCGCTCGCAAGTCTGAGTTGTTCAGGAGCTGCTTTAACGATGTGTCTCCGGAAGCTAATCCAGATCGCTCCAGGTGGTGAAGTCAATATCACTTTTGCGGGTCCTCGCCAGTAACTTGGACTTTCTTTGCTAGCATGATCTCCTGGTGCTTTTCTCCAAAAGAAGACGGTCTGACCCACTTCAAAATCTGTGACTTCTCGTCTTCCGGCATGTAGTGAATTGGTGAGTGCTTGTTGGCATTCGACTTCATGGAATGCTCTCGCAGCAGCCAATCGCATCGTCTGAGCTCGCTGAATTTGTAAATCTCCTCGACGTGCCCAGCTTCGTGCATCCTTTTCTTCTTCAGTCAAAAACTGTAATCCTCCGGGCATCTTTGGGGTGTATCCCAGCAATCTTTGGCAGGGCGAGAATCCAGACTTGTTTGCCAATCTGTTGACCGTCATGTTCACAATGTCTACCAAGTCTCGCCACTCCAAATCCGATTGCACGGCATAATTGTCCATTGCTTTCACCAGAATCTCCTTGAAGGTCTTCCCAGCCCTCTCGGTGATGGATCTCTGAGTGGGCATCTCTAATGCACTGGGTTCCACCAAAGTTTCATCAAGTTCAGCTCCATCTTGAAAGGCTGAACAAAACTCTTTTCCAAGGTCGGTGTAGAGCCTTTGTGGAACCCCCATAAACCGAATCCATTCCAGGTAGGCTCTTCGGGCGTCGGTTGCCGTGTGACTCCGAAGTGGTATCACCATCTGAAATCGAGTCGACCAGCATACGATGTTCAGTGCCATTCTTCTTTTCTTTCCCGGTGTCGGTAGCCAAACTGTATCGATGCCGATTGTGTGATTTGGTGGGAGTTCCTTTGGAGGGGCGGCCGCTCTTGGAGGTCTCACCAGTTGTTGTTGCTGACATGTTGAACACACCAGATTTTTGGCATATTCGATAGCTTTCTTCGAAGCGTTGGCTCCCTTCAAAATTCGAGCCAATCTCGCATTTCCAGGGTGTCCCAGTCCTTCATGTGCTCGTCGAACCAGTTGTTCGGTCGAGAATGGTCGTTCTCTGGGGAGATATGCTTTTCCTTTTTGTTCTTCTGCTTCTTCTTGTTCGGGTTCATCTTGGAGAGGATGTACTTCGTGGTGTCTTGGCTCTCGTGGTTCAGCCCGAGTTGCATTCATGAACCATAGCCATAGGTTTGTTTTCTGTTGTACCCTTCTCTCAAGCTTCTGGTAGTCCTCGAGGCCCAGCCATTCCATCTCGTCGGACTTGATCTTGTGGTGCTCTTTGATTTCTTGGCAGTAACCTTGCAGGATCGCCTTGATCAAGGCTGGAGGGTATTCTTGAGCTTGTGTTGCTCGGCTGCTTCCCATGCACGAACCGAGGACCGGGGTGTGTTGATGTTCTCCTTGGCATTGTCGGTTCAGCTGCTCTGCAATCCTCGGGCTGTTTGTGATCCACCCGGTCGGTTTCTTCATGATGCCTCCTGCTCTGTCGTGCAATCCAAATTGGCACTGGTCGCATTTCGCGAGGATGCAATTCTCCTTTTGGATGACCTTTTGTAGGGCTCTCTCCATCCATGCTCGAGATGTCATTGGTTGCTCGAGGAGGTAGATGCCACTATAGTCCTCTATGATTTCTACTATCTCGCATGCGAAATGCAGGAGCACTCGAGCTTCTCGAAGTCGTTGCTGGAAGTTCTCCTGGTCCACATTCATGTTCTGCATGATTGAGAACAAAGTACAGGGAGGTGATATAATGGTCAAACCTGGTCGTTGTTCTCGGAAGAATCTTTTTACCCCGTCTCGTTCTCCTGGATCCAGTAGTTGGTCGCCAAGTTTCAGATCAAAGGCCGCTGCAGCAATCAGTCCTGACCGTTTGCAGTAAGGTGCAAAACGCTTGGGGTTGAACAGCTCAGCAACTGTCTTTGGGGTTCCTTTAACCATCTTAGCATAGTGCCGATGAACTTTCGAACTGGACTTGATGCGCTCTAAGTCTTTTGCAATGGCACAAATTGGCTCATCAGCACTCAGGAGACCCATGAGCTCGGTCAAGTAGGACTCCGCATTCCGAAGAGAAGCTTCCATGGCCTTATAGTTTTTCTCTCCAAGTTCTCTCCACTGGCCGGGAAGTTCATTGTGGATGTTGGATCTCACTTCTGACGATCCTTCTGGCTCTTCCATTTCTGGTACTCGAGGAACTCCTTGAACTCCTCTGATTTCTCCTCGTCGGTTTCTCCCATGGATTGGATCTCTTTCTTGACTTCCGTCTTGATGTGCGTGTCTGGTGCATCCGACTTCCGTTCGGATTTCAATGTCATGTTGCATTGCAGGCACTTCTCCACTAAGACGAAGGCATTCGTCCCCCTTTTGGTTGTCCGGGTGTGTTGGCAATTCTCGGGGTCGATCAATCCAGGTTTCCCGGCTTTTTCCTCGATCTCCTTGGAGGGCTCCTTCCGGTTCTTGTTCTTTGAAATCGGTCTAGTCTTTGGAGTCGGTATTGGTTCCTGGAGGATTGATGGAGTCGTTGGAGATCCTGGAGACGGCCGGTAGCTGATCGAGTGCATCTCTTCGGAGGTGGTCACCGGTGTCTGTTGGACTTGACTGGGCGAGTGCATGGTCCGAATCGATGGACTCCCCTCTTCGGCCGAAGTCGTCCATAGAGTGAACACCTTGTTTCGTCCCCGATTGGGAACCGATTCCCATTCCGCATCCTCCGGGTCGGTCTCGACATCTGAGTCCTCCTCCTCGATGGGGCTTTTCTTTCGACGCTCCCCAAGAAGGTCCATGGCGAGTTCGCTCAATCGGATCATCACGAAGAGGAGCTTGGTCACCAGTCGGGCCCAAATGGACACATAGCGGCTCTCTTCGACTCGGCTGCGCTTCATGGCAAGAAGTTGACGACGAGGCTGCTGATGATTGGGCAGCTGGATTGCTTGAACCCACCGATCTCGAGCCAGATATCTGCTCATTGGCCATCATCTTCATGATTTCGAATTCCTTGGATCCTGCTTGCATTTGGTCATGTAGTTGTTGAAGTCGTTTTGTCTGTTCTTCGTTGAACTGGTTCAAAGGAACCCGAAGTGCTCCAGTAGGTCCTAGATGGCAATCGACACCAAACCCAAATCGTCGAAGATATAATCGAAGACCTTTTTGAGGATCCAAGTATAAAACCGCACGGCAGTGGAGTAGAAAAGGGAGCGAGATCAAGAATGGAGCCTTTCGTGATTCACCTTCTTGAAATATTGCTGGTCGTAAGATGCTACCTTTGTGTCCTAGGCTTGTCGGGATCGTGGCCAAGTGCGACGTCGTCGAAGTTCCATTGACCGACCGAAATCGATGTTCCTGAGGGACCGTTCCAATGTACAAGGAACTAGGTATGTGGTTGGACAACCTCAACAATGTATCTGCCCCAACAGCCATTCGTTGACAACCAGTGTCGATTGTGGCGCATCCATCGTCATGCGTACTGCTTTCTGACCATGTGGAAGACTGGCTTGTTGACGTTTCTGTCCTCCTGTGGCGGTCTTTCGGGTGATCATGATTCTCGGATGCCTTCCCCCGCAAACTAGAATCCCCCAAAACAAACAAAACTTCACTCTCATTTCCTTCAACCCCCTTACCAATAGCAGCGCATTGGACCTTATATCGGGAATGAGATGTGTGCTTCTGTCCAGCTACAGAGTGGGAGCTGGATACCACTGCAAAAACACTGGTTTTCCGATCACCCTCAGGCTCAGTCGGGCTTTTGCTCGATGTAGTGGAGGTCACCGTCGGAGGCATCAGTGAATCTTTCTTCACGTCCATCTCAACAACGGTGCCCTCTTGCTCCACGAAAGCTTCTTCTGGCGGTTCATAGTTCTCCTCGAAATGGCGCGTTTGATCTCCATAGATCTCTCGATCTAACTGATCCTCGGGATCCATCATGCGGAAGAACTCTTCATCGTTGAAGTCCTTCATGTCCTCCTTCACTGTCGGCTCATTCACCTCGAGGTGTCCGCAAAAGAAGGCTTCTTCTGCTCTTCCTTGATCTTTTCCATGTAGTAGTTCTCTTTCGTCGTGCTTTTCCCACGACCTTTGCCATCCGGACATTCTCGATGCCAATGTCCCACACGCTTGCAGATGGCACACCTGCTGTTTTGCTTCAGCTGATCGATCAGCTTGCTCTTGCCTTGCTTTCCTTTTTCTTTTCCAGACCCTTTCCAGCCTCCATAGCCCCTGGCCAGCTCTTTGGCCTTCTTCAACTTCATGCTCTGGCTGAAAGTCCGTTTCTGAACCAGAGTGTTCAACACCTCTCGAACTTCATGTTCGTCCAGCGTCTCATCTTCTTCACCTTCACCTTCTCCATCTGGTCCATTTTCTTCCCCCTCGTCCCCGAGCTCCTCGAGGGCGGCCTCGAAGATCTCGTTCTCATCGAGGTAGTCGGTGTGCTCATCGGTCACGATATGGTGCACAGGTGCAGTAGCCGATGAACTGGACGCGGTCTTGCCCTTGTTCTTGTTCAGCTCGATGCCCACTTCCTTGGCCATGAGTTTCGTTTCATGTTTTCTGACCCAATCTTTGACGTCCTTCGTCGAGATGCTTCCCCTCGTAAAGTTCATCATGTTCTTGATGTCCTGTTCACTCAGGCTCAAAGCGTTGATCAAGAGGAAGCCTTTGTAGGGGTCGGGCAGCTCGACCTGGTGCGAATTCACTCGCCTCATGGCTTCTTCCCATCGATTGAAGAAGATGCGGTGCTCCTCATTCTTCTCCCTGCGGATGTGGTAGGTGATCTTGGCCAGGGAGCTCAACAAATCTTCTTCACGGTCATCACCGAAATTCTCTGGCAGGTCCATTGCAGCCAGTAGTTCATGTCCTCCTTCATCGTTCTGAAGCCAGGTCGAATCCCTGGCCCAATGCTTGAAGGTCTGGAATGCCACTCCTGACAGACCCTGAAGCAACATAGGACCCTGTGAGTTCTTCCGGGTCTTGGTGGTGGCAAGCCATAGTTTGGCCTTGATCAGGCAGTCCTGGAAGGGGATTGAAGTCCCATCCCACTCAGGTGCTTTGGCGTTGGATCCCCCACGCCAATCACTTTCATCTTCTCGAGGTCCACCCCGATCACGGTCACGAGATCGACGTCGCCGGTCGCGAACAAATTCGCGGTACTCATCACTATCAAAACCATCAGACCAGCCAGGGCCTCCTGGCGTCATGCCATCTCCTTGAGGTCGTCCAGGGCCTTCACGATGCCCTTCCTCAACTCCACTTCCGTCACTGCGAGGGATTGGATGGTTCCTTCCATCCGCCATGGCAACTAACCCAAACTAACACGGACGCACCCTGGAGCTTGGTGCTCCGCTACCACTATGGATCAAACCTGACGGACATTTTTCCGCCAGCCACAGGGTCCTTGCCCCGACTTGAGCCACGGCGTACGTGGCTTGCTTTGGTACACTTCTCGTTTGTGCGTTTCAGCCAACAGGAGACGGAATTCACATTCATTCAACCAGCTGCATAGACTGGCAGAGAACACGGCTCTGCAGCCTTTCTGAGATCCCAAGTTGTTCCAAGACCTCCCCCATTCCATTGCTTTCCAGCCCAATTCCAGGGCTCTGCAGGACAAACCCTCTGCCGGGCGCACGCAAGAGAAGTACTGCCACCTCACTCTCATGATGCCTGGCAGCATCTGCGCGCAGAATCCAGTGGAAACAGAGGATCTATACCTGGACCCTGCAAGGGGGGTCCAATGGACTACCTCACACTAGCTATAGGCTTCCATTGGGCACCCCTTGGAGGGTCCTGGTATGTAAACTCCAAACCTGACTGTTCAAGGTTTCGAAAGCCTCCAGCTGGTCGAAGAGATCGAGGCTTCAATATCAAAAATATATTGTTATACGTATACTGTTCGTTAGCTCTTTGGTTTTGGGTCTTCCGGGAAGCTCGGGAAGGTCACTCATCTCAAGCCTGTGGACCACCTCATGCTTGGAGACCACCAATCATTGCACATCAAATCCACCCCCCACCATGCCTTGGCTCACGTCCATCACGTAGAGCCGAGGCTCCTGAAAGTGGTTGTCCGAGGTCGCATCTCAAGTTGAAACCCAAGCGGCTTGGGCTTTTGGAGAGGCTTCTTTGTGACCAAGAGAGACCCTATGTGCCGGCAGGCGGGGAAGGGAACTTCTAATTGGATGATATAATATCAATCCTGGTACACATCACTCCTTCAAACGTCCATGGCCAAAGATGAATTTCAGTCCGTATTTGTTGGCAGCAAACTTCGTGCTGTCGCCACCTCTGCTGTCGAAACCTGTCGCATCCGCGGCATAGCCATGACCCACAGCAGCTTCGAGAAAACCCATGGCACACTGGGAAGGTGAACGTCCTTGGGCTGTGTGGGAGGCGCTGGCAGCTTCAGCTCGCCTGCGGCGCGCGGTGGTCTCAGGACTGGTGCGACTGACCTCCGGCCGACCGGCCCGGCAAAAGGCCGGTGAATTAGGCCGTCCGCGTCGCGTCGCGTCTGGCGCCTATGCAAGCTGGCTTGCTGATCGGCGACTCGCAACACCACCGGTTGTTGATAAAGAAGGAGACCATGGCCTGCCACCGTGGCGCGCCGGCGAAGCCAGGGCAGCGACCCGAGGTCTTGGATGGAGGGGGTTTTGGTCGAGTCCAAAGAGGCCTGGGCTGCAATCCACAACTACTACAAGCAAAAGAAGCTATGCCTGTTTGTCATCAACATTGGCTGGACCAAAAGACCAAAATGACACTCATCACCAAAGCGATCGTAATATGAGACCACCACAGCCAAACCAATTCTTGTTGGGCAGAAAAGATAACATACCTACCTTGTCCCCAACAACCCCCGGCCCCTCGTCTTCGCCTCGTATTCGATGCCCTCCTCCAAGCCCGTGGCCAGCGTCTCCGTGGCCGGCGCGGCGATGGCGCCGCCCGTGCCTGCGAGCCGGACCCGTCAAGAAAGGAAACCCTCAAACGTCTGTGCCTGGAAAGACCAGTGTCAATGGGAAGACCCCAAAACAGCTGCGTTTCGGGTTTCGACCGGGTAGACTTCCCCCGAAAGCGCCCCAGATGGCGCACCCACTGCTACCCCCCGGCCCGCGGGGCGCGCCCCAGGCGCCGGGTGGGGCGAGAATCGATCGTCCAAGAGAGTCCCCCGGGTCGGTGTGAACACCCATCAAATGAAGAGCGGTCCCCTCACCCAATCAACTTGCTCATCAATGAAGCGATTGATGAGCTCACTCGTTGGTTGTAGGGATCCCCTCTGCGCTCGATTTAGCGCAGACTCAGGCCATTGCCAAGCCCCTCTGGCTTGCTGCCAACCAGGGCTCGGACAAAGGTACCAGTTCTGGTTGCCTACTCTGCGAAGCCTGGGCGACAAAGTGGCACCGCCCACTCCCTGACCCACGTTCTGGCTTGCCCCAAGCACCACATGGAGGAAATCAAGAATACTGTTTGGGTTTTGCTTGTGATTGCTTGCCCCAACATGCGGTATTGTCGATCTTTTTTCAGCAAACCAAGAATACTGTTTGTTCGCTTGCCCCAAGCACCACATGTCAGCTTCTTCGAGTGTGCTTCGAGTGGTTGACGGCACCATCGACTACTAATTGAGTACAAGATGGTCCTCTAGAAGCAGGTGGTTCCGCTCCCGTTATGATGGACCTGAGGAGTGTAGCTGGTGGACTTGAAGTGCTGAGCTGAGTTGAGTTCGGCCGACTCTCCCAAGTTGGTTGTAAACCAATGGGCCTCTGAAGGCAAGATAAAAATAAGACATGCCCTATAGGCCCTAGGGCTCCTGAGAAGGTGTTTGGGATGGGTTTATACAGGTTTATAGAAAAAGGGTCTATAGTACCAAACACCAAGAAGTTGGGAGACCCCGTCTGGGAGTTCCTCCGAACCTTCGTCCACCATCTGCCGGTGCCGCGAGCCGGTCTTACGCTCTATATGTCCTACCAAAGTGGAAGAGGATGTTTCTCCAACCAACCAGGGGGCCCGTGCACCAAAGCATGCTTTCACTGTTGGTTTTGGAGCACGGATTTGCGATCAGTCCTGCGAACGGCTGCGGGGTGCTCACAACAGCTTTCCGTCCGGTACCAGACACCAAGGAGCTTTACAATCGTCTGCTTGGCCTCTTCTGGCAGGGTCCATCTGACCTGCAAACCATAACCGGTCTCGGACGGTCTCGATGAAGAACCACCAGAAGACGACTCGCAACAACGCAAACATCAGGCGAAGCAAGTGGAAAGGATCTGCAGAGTCACGTGGTCCCAATGACCACGCACGCGCGACGGACGAAGGCACCTTCATCTTGCCATCTCCCTGGGGGACCATGACCGGAACCTCAGCCAGCGTGAATCCAGAGAGTTCGTCCCCAAACCAGAGAGTTCGCCCCCCTGGCTGAAGGAGAAACCTCACCGTGGACGAAAAATGATGTCTTCCATATGAAATGTCCAACTAGAAAAAAGGGGCAACCGACCGCCGTCCACATCTGGCCGCACCAGACACCGGGAACCCGTTCACATCGGCGAAAACCGGAACCTCCTTGACCGGCTTTCAACCGAGGCACATCGGATGCGCCCTCGTGGATCACTAGTTGCATGCCACCAATCTGCCCCTGAGAGCCGAAGGTCGGTCAAACGGCGATGGATCGAGGGCCAAAGAGAACTGCTCAGAAGGGTGGATGGGTTTGGACCAAAAAGTATGAAAGAGTGAGAAAACACGGCCCCAAACTTTGGTCTTTTTAACTCTTTTCTTGCCTTACCCGGTGCTATGATGTGCTGTCAATTTCGACCTGATCCAAGAGCATCAACTGAGTCAGAGGTGGTACATAGAATAGGTTCGTAAGAAGAGAGTGATGAATACTTTCCAAAAAGCAAATCCAAGAGGTCACACGGTAGGTTGATCAGTCCGAAAACGGATCCGGTCACATCCTGATCGCAAACTTTGAAACATCAATATAGCGAAAATCATAGCTCTCAAATGCAAAAGTCAATGAAAATCATCTAGATGTACTGGATATGAGTAGTGAGCCACATAAACCTTCGTGGCCAAATGAAACTCTTGATCATGCAGCTCTTGAAATACCGTGTCAAAATACCATGTCAGAATAGAGATTGAAAGGCTCAAACCCACCTTGGCATCAATGTTGGCCACACTGTCGCTGGCCATCGAGTATTCTCCAAAGCCCTGCGAAGTCCGCTGGTCCGCTGCCCGCATCGCTGTCGCGACGCATGGATGCTTTGAAGGAACGGCTTGGCTGCGGCACCCCTTCTGAGGATTGGAAACAAAGTGCCGTTCTTCGGTTTTCGCTGTCGGAAACGGACGTCGTTTCGCTGTCGGCTCTCGCTGTCGTTTGGCACGACTGGTTTCGGCCGGCCCGTCTACTCCTCAGGTTTCGGCCCAAACCCCCCGGTTGCGGCCGACCCCTCTGGATCCTCCAAATCCCAAACGCGAGCCACGAGTGCGAACAGAAAGCTGACGGTCGGATCCAGTCGTACCGAACCTCAGAAAGACTGTCATGCATCTGTCATGTAGGTGCCAGGAGATCCAAGCACCTTCTGAGAAGGTACGACTGGAAGGTACAGGGGTGGTGTTCACCTCTGGAAGATGGCCGCTTCCGTGGCTCATGAGGCTTGAATTAGAGCCCCTCGGACCCACCACCCCGGAGGAGCCCCCTCGGATCAAAGGCCTCGGCATTGCGGCAGCAAATTTCTGCTGCATACTCCACACAATCCTGCGAGGGCGACACAAGGGACCCAGTGTCGCCAGCGTCGCTTCGGACCCGCCTGTGCCACCATAGAACTGATATGAACTGAGTACCAAGAAGGGGCCATCATTCCAGCTCTTCCTGGTGCTCACAGATCCAAGTCTCCAATCAGCTCCCTCTCACGACACCCGGTCCTGAACGCCATGAATATTCACCTGGACCGGGCAACACCACCGCAGCCACAGCTGTGATGGATTCGAACAGGGAGACCCCTGAACCAAGAGGTTTAATCACCAGAGTTTCCTTACATGGAAGCAGTTCCGCAGTGTGAACTTCAATGTCCAAACCTTCCAAGATTCCTCATCCCAGCCAAGCTCCTCACATGTACGACCCTCCAACCCACCAAATCCCCACCCAAAGTGTGTGCCACTTCCCACCTCGCACCGTGGCTCTGCACCGAGCCGTGGCTCCTCTGCACCGGACCCGTCGCCGCGCCTCGCTGCGGCTCGCGGCGAAGCTGGTCCGCCCGGTCGAGACCAGGGCGCCCGTCAGGTCGATGAGCCACTTCTTCCCTCGGCGGCGAACGCGTGACACGACGCCCCCCACACGGTCGCCGTGCCGTTCAACGCGACGCGACGCGACGCGCGGGGTGGAGGCGAGACGCGACGCGTTTCGGAGCGCGGCGTGGCACGGAGCGAGGCGTGATGGTGGTGGTGGTGGTGGTGGTGGTGGTGGTGGTGGTTCGGGCGGAGGGGGGGGGAACCCGAAGCAGGAGGGCGGGTTTCACAAGAAAGGGGCCATGGTTCCGGAAAAAGAATGCCAAGGGCGGCGGAAGTTTCGGAGATGGGGATCTTGAAAAACCCAATCCCTCTCAGGCCGCGTTGGAGGGAACTGGACCTTTTCTTTGCAGCTTGCGACCTCTCGAAAAGCTGACCTTGGCGCTGCCGGCTTTTCTTCTGCGATGACACTCTGCAACATCTGGCTGACCCAGGATTCAGGGCCTTCCGACACCTTGGACTCTTCAAGGGCCTCCTTTGCATAGGTGAGAGCCTTTGAAGGATCTACGTCCTTCATGAGCTGGAAGCCCATGTGATAGGCATAGGTTTTCGCCGCAGCATTGCCCTCAAGCTCCTGGTCAATGAGCTCAATGAGCTTCTCCATGACCTGCTCAAAGGATTGATCGAGATTCCCCAAGCCCCGAGCATGTCAACAGTCAACTTTGGAAGGAAAGAAAGTCAACCTTCGAGACTGTCTCCCCGCCTGATTCCCCAAGCCTTGTGCCACGGCGCTGGGCAGCGCCGAGCGGAGCTTGGACAGCCGCTGGCGCACCTCGTTGCTGAGCAAGAGATCCCGACCTCCACAACTGGCGATGCATCACCCACTTCGGGGTGATCAGACAGGTGTTTGTAGCTGAGACATCATGCAGTGACTCCCTAATAGATAGAACAGTACATCTGAGACTGTCTTCTATAGAGACTCTAGAAGAGCCCCGACAAAGCGACAAAGCTTGAATCAAGCTAGCATGTCCTGTTCCCTAAAGCCCTTGGTTTAGTAGGTAGTGGATTTGGAGTCTGAATGGCCGCGGGAAGGCGGGATTACCAAGGGATTCTCTTGATTTCACGTCAAGCATCAACTCTTTGTATTTGTTTGCACCGCCTCCTTCCCACAACCCCCTCTGTAGAACCCAAGGAATTTGTCAACGACCCCAAGAAGACTCACAGGTGAAGCATGTCATGCACACACATGACAAGAAGAGCCTGAGCTTGGACTGGGACCGGACCGGGTCTCTCTTGCCATCCTTCCATTCGATCTGTTCAGATGACCAGACCAGGTCCCTCTCGCACCCAGAGCACGGTCGAACACCGCCCCCAGCTCGACCCCTGTCTCACGCGGAAGGAAGAGCTCGCCTGTCTGCAAGCAGCTGGGACAGGTGCATTTGAAGTTGAACGTTCTCCGTAAAGCCTCTTGGCGTTCTTGCCGCGTCATGAAGAGGTCGATGTACGTGATGCACAACTCTTCCCCCGCTTCCACGTCACGAATGGCGTGCAACACCTGCCCAGATTCTTTGAAGTTTCATGCCAGATTCGTTGGTTGATCAGGGAAATACAGTATTCATACATATGATCTTGCCTATGAAAACCATGAAAACGGGCTAGGATGATAGTCCCGGGCTAAACTGGTCGATGGGAAGCTTGACTCCCCTTGCCCACCTCTCCATGCTCCTCTTGATAGCTGTTGTTCACATTGTTGTTGCAGCTGTGGTTGAACCTTGAAACATTCGCATAGACCCCCACCATGTCACCCTGGGCCGTTTCGATCGGCAAGGCATTGGTCCGCACGATGCCCACGGCCGAGGTCTTGGTCTCGGAATGGCAATCAGACAAGCTCCAGAAACTTCGCAGCTGGTCATCGGGCAAGCGTCCCAAGGCCTCTTCGATTTCCTGCTCCCAAGTGCCCAGTTGCCTGGAATCCTGGCAATGGCTCACCACAAGCAGTGGCTGCTCGCGCAACAGCAGCTCACCTTTCTGAATCTTCCGAGCTGCCACCACTCCCATGCCCTTCGCTCCTAAATCCCTTACCTCAAAGGCTGATCTTCGAGAAACTTTGAACTTGTAGAAAAGCCTGAACATCATCGCCACAGCACCACCCACCATGGCAGCTCCATTTCTGCCCACTTTCGCTCCACGGTACGCTCCATCCACCGCAGTGTGCGGCGGCAGCGGCTGGGTCGGCCGGCTTGGCTGGCCGAGACGCGCGGCACATGAGGGTCGCGGTGGTAGAAGCTCGGCCATTTGGTGTCGCCGGAATCCCCCCCGTATATCTTATAATCTAAACGCGCTTGGGGTCGTTTGGGGTCCTTTGAGGTAGGTCGAATGGACACTTTTGCGATAGTTGGGGCGGTTGGGTGGCAGAACAGGTTCTGATCATGAACAGTTTGAGGCGAACCTTCCCTTTCTTTGGCAGCCCCTTCTGGAACCTCTGGCCAAACTGGCATCACAGTCTCGAAGGATTCGTCTATTTTCCTACTTGCAATCTCCGTGCCGTCTCCGTGGTCTGAGCCCGACTGGCCGCAATCTTTTTAACCTGGCGTGCTTCTTCAGACCATCTTCTGAAAAACCACCACAAGCGACCGGATCTAAGAAGTCAATGCCCACTCAAAATCTGTTTCTCTAAGCCCATGCATCGAACTGGAAGCATCGACAACTCGAAGCATCGAACGACTGACACTAAGCTTTGACATTTCGTTGGCGCCGATCCTGGCCAAATGGGCCTCGACCCATCCGTGTGGGTAGAGTTCCCCCTCAAGTACACTGACCAAGTGGAACTCACTGAAAGCGGTGCAGCCCCTGCCCCCCCATGTCCGGTGGCCATGCAGTGCCCGTGGCAGTGATGAGGGCCCTGATCAACCACACCGACGCAGAAGCTCCAAACTGACGCAGACGAAGACGGCCTTTCTGTGTTGGGCTCCCGAACCTGTGCCCACATCAGTCAGCTGGACCTGTCCACTGCTTCTTCGCGACAGCGGAGTTTGGGGACCCGCCCGATCCACCTGAAAACCACCGTTCGCGGCCATCCCAAAACGGGTCGTTCATGGCGTTTCTCCCAACATCAACGCAGCGGTCGTTCGGCGGCGGACCAAAGCATCGCCTGAGTGGCTTCCACAGGTGGCGCTGCGCTCGGCACCGCCTCAGCCCGAGTGTCGGGCCACGGCCGTTTCCACACCAAGAATGGGAATGAGCTGAATGGAAGGTTTCATCCATAGGAATGCACATGCCTTCAGTAGTTGGCCCCCTTGAGCGTCCCCCAACCACTGTAGCAGAATGGATGCCACAGGAAGGAAGGTCTTAAACTTCTGGAATGCATACAAAGGCACCTGAAACATGCAACTTTCTGGGATTTCTCTCTCTCTCTCTCTATCTCTCCTCTCGCCCTCATATGATGGCTTCAGCCAGGAATCGCATACCAGATGATTCTTGCAAGATTGTGGAAATCCAAACACTCCTTAACCGCAAAAGAAATGATTCTTCTGTTGAGAGTTGCTAGAATCTACCACAAAGCTGCTTCGTTGGTGGAATTCATCCTCGACTTCCAAGCAAGAATTGGATGTCTTCTTCATTCTCCCAGCCACTCTCAATTCTCTCACTTCTCATATCCTCCGGGCGTCAAACTCCAGCGCTCCACCTCCGCTCCCAGGGCTCCCAGCCCAGGTCACACGGAGCTTCCCGCTGCCCAGGGCCGTGAGCGAGGGCGCGGTGGGCTTCGGTGGCTTGTCCTGGCTCGGCTTCGTGGCGCCGGCGCCACGGCGCACCATCGGACATTCCATCGGAGACTCCACAGGAAAGGGGGAGGGCATAAAAGAATTCCAGACTCCCTGATCCCACTGGTGGAAGACAGCACATGGGGCAATCAAGCCGCGCAACCGGGTCGAAAGATGCAGCAACCGCCGATCAACCCCTTCATTGTGGTGTTTCTGCATGGCCCACTGGGTTGTGTTTTTACTGTGGTGTCAAGGGTCTGATTTGGAGGCGATGATTAAGTTATACCTGTATACCCTAGCCTTTCAAGACGATGTTTGAAAAATGGTTGAGCTGGTTAGGTGTGTTGCAGTCTGAAATCCTTAGTAAACTATGGTTGTTCGGAAAGAACCATTAAATCAAGGGTGGTTGGAATCTCAGGGTGTAAGAGAAACCGACAGGACACGAGGAGATACGACCGTTGTTCAGTTGGACCCGGGTCGTGGGAGGGGCCTTTGTTCAGTTCATTTTAGGGTCCATCCTTTGTCAGGACAGGACGGATGTGTCGATCAATGTGTACTGGTCTCTGGTCTGATCCTTTGATGAAACAATTTATGAACTGAGAGTACACCCCAGTCACTCATAGATCTCATAGGGTAAAATGGAAAACACAAAAGAGCTGCAGGTGTTCAAGTCTTGTTTCTGCCAGATCTTGTAGTCGATATAGTATACAGTATATGCCCCCCATTTATATAAGTGTCTCTTCATGTATACAAAACCCACATGGCCATCCAAATCCAAATCGGGGTCGCCCCAGCCATTCGATTTGATGGTTTCCTTGGACCAAAAACCTTTAAACATTGTCTGGGCCTTTCAATTGAGTCTGCGGCTTGCTCGGGCGACCTGGTCAGACTCGATCATCAACCTACCACACCGGCGTGCTTGCGCTGAGGCGGCGCACCCCACGGGCTTGCGCTTACCAATGCACGGGCTGAGGCTGCGCACACGTGTCTTCAAAGAGGCACCAAACCAGCCCGCCTCACTAAAGGGCGAGGGCCTCAGACATCATTGGAGACATCGCGTCGAGAGCACCCCCAGGGTCATTGCGCTGGGCGGGCGGGAAAATGGGTGCGTGGGAGGAGGCATGAAAGCCCAAGTTGGCTTTGGCGGGAACCACGGAGGGTTTAGTCCCCTGGGGGTGACCGTGGTGACCCACATTGCAAAATGCTGGAGAGCTCCTTGGAAGCAATGGTGAGGTAGGGGTGTTTTTGGAGGCTTGGGAATTCCAAGATCGATGGAAGACGAACATCCTGCACTTTGCGCCACCCAGCCCCCAGCCCGGCCCCACCGTCTTTTTGGGTGTTCCCAGGTGCCAAAGGTGCCAGTGCCCCCCCCCCAACGAGGCGACCCACTGCTGCGACCGCAACGACTGGCGGCTCCAGTTCTGCCCAAGAGGCTCGCTCCACCCCTCGCTGTTCATCACGGCCAGGACGGCCTCACGGAGTGACGAACCCCATGAGCCCCTAAGGGCCCGTCTACCCGATGGGCTCAGGTGACCTGTTCTAAGTGGATCTTCTTCACGCTCAGGTGACCAAAGCCTGCAGAGCCTGCAGTTTTCTTAGAAAAAACTCTGGTCAATGGGAAACGCATGGGACTTGAATGGGAAGTTTGCAGTGTTCACAGACTCCTACCGAAGAACGCAGGGGTCCCAAAGGTTGGAGTGCAAAGTAAGCAGCTCAAAACTGCATGGGATGCAGACTAGTGAGTATGGAGCAAAAAGGTTTGAAGTGTGTGCGAGTGTGGGACAAATTTGGCGAGGTATATAAATTTGCAGGTTTTGATGTGGATGTGTGTTTTTTGTAGTTTCTTGCTGCGCAGCCAGTAGGGCCCTTTAAAGCGGGGTTGTTGGCTCACCTTTGAGATAGGATGAAGCCGAAGCCTGAGGACTTCTTTCAACAGCAGGAAAGAAGCAGCACCTTGTATCTCAGATACTAGACAGTTCAACTTCTGATATGGACTTCGATTGGGTAACTGGATCATGGAAAATTATGTTGACAGTCACCTCTGGGACCTTTGACCACGGATCCTTTGACCACGGGTCTGACCACAGGGCCGTGTTTTTCCTGGTTGGTTCTGCGGCACCAACGGGCGGCACCATGAACCTTTGCAGGTGGATCGGATCATGAGCGACAGGTGCTGACTCAGCACCTCCTGAAACCCAGCGCCTCATACTCAATGCCCTCCTCACAGCCCTCCACTGTGACTTCACAGGTTGGGGCGGGCACCTGAGAGCCGAGGCGAGACCAGGTAAGAAGTCTTTGTTCAAGTCGGTCTGTCACATAGAACCAAAACGGGAACCCGTTTTTAACAATTTCTGAAGAAGAGTCTTCCAAGCATCTTCAGGTTCTGAGCTCAAAAGCTATGGCAAATCTTCAGCTCCAAAGCTATATTCAGGTCCATCTCGACCTCTCCTCACCGGACGGTCGTCCGGTCGTCCCGGGTCTCCCAGACGGTGGAGCCACCTTTGGGAACGAGTCGTCCGGTGCCGTGGTCGTAGTTGTGAAGCCTCGCAACGAGTGCCGCGAGGGACCAGGGAGACTCCCGGAGCGGTTCATGCAGGGTCCCCAAGCACGTGGAGCGTCGTCGGATCCGATCCAGGTGACAAGAAGCAACCTCACCGTGAGATACCTACTATGCATATTACAATAACAAATCACATATACTATCATATACTCAATGGACACTGTGGGTCTGTGGGAATAGCAATCTACCTTCAAATTAGCAGTATTCATAGTATTCTATTCATTGAAGACCAAAAGAAAGCCTGCCAGGCTTTCTCAAAAGGGCGTCCCTCTTCAAGGGCGTCCCTCTTCCTGTACCACAGCCATCTCCTGGATCTGCCCACTTGCCGGGGCCTGGTGCTGCCCTTTATCCGCAGCTTCAAGGTGGAGGCTGTGACCTCGTGAACGAGAGAAGAACTGAAGAACCCAACAAATGCTCAGAGGGTCCTGGCTTTACCAAGAGAAAAAAAGCTGGGAAAGGCACGTGAGGCACCTCTGAACTCAGCCACCCATGAGTGAAAAAAAAACGAACAACGGCGACCCGGAGGACGGCAACGGATGATGCGCAGGAGGCGACCCGAAAATCTCAAGTGGCCTCCGGCTCCACTTCTGGGATGGTCCACGAAATCCTGAAGGAGGATTCGCCCGACGAGACACAAGGCCTCAGTCCAAGCGGCCAAAATTGAAGTGAGGTTGAGGGGTTGTCTGGTTGGAGAGTATCTAAGCGGACCAAATGCCTACTGGACAATGTCAATTTTTTTGTGGGATTCTTTTGAGAGAAACATCTCGGATGGTCGTAATTTATGCGATACATATCCTAAAATGTGCAAAAAATTGAATCCTTGACCAAACAAGATCAATGCGACAGACAGGATCTGGCGGGCGCCAGGCTTCCGACTTCTCTGGCGCTGGAGGTTTTGCCATCTTCGGGTCAAAAGACCTCACGTCAAGGACTGTTTTTTCACGGTCCTTACACCACCTGACCCATGAAAAGCCTGGATCTGCAAGGATCTCCACAAAACCCTGGCGTGTTTGACAGACCAAACGTGCCATGCGATCGAACGTGAGCCATGCGATCGAACGTGGTGCAAGGCCCCCGCCTCCGAAGATCCACCCCGGCCAATCCACCAACCCCTGCGGTTCGTTTCAACCACTCCCGACGTGCGGACGTTCACGTCGGCGCTGTCCGGATGTCTGGACACGCAGCGCTGTGTTTTTTTTCCCTTGTTTTTTGGAATGTAGTGACTACTACCGCTCCTTTGCAATGCTCCAAGTTTGGAGGGTGTTACAAAGTTGACCAGGGCTATGGTGAAACCTGGGCTCTTTCATGGGTTTTTCTCCCCCAGTCTGTCGTTGGTCGACCTGATTGAGCCAAACATCATTCAAAAGATCCGAAACAAATCTATATATGTCTGGTGACCTTCCGCCATTCAAGTTTTCACTGGAACATCAAACAAATGCTGACACAAACAAATCATCAACAAACCTTGGAAAATATTCCACCTGGTCCTGGCCTACAAAAATAACGAACACCAACGGACTGAAATGCTTGCAACAATGATAACATCCACATTGTGACTCACTGAAACCTGCACCAGGGCATACCAGGGCTAAGCGTGGACTGCTTTTAGACTTTTGGCCTTCGGAACAGCAGGGAGGCGAAAAAATCATGTGAAATTCGTTTCCGACTGCATGGGTGCCAATCAAAACTGGTCATTGCACAGGTTGTTGCACCGCCGTCAGGGGATGGCGCCTCACTTGCGCACGCAACAATAGCTCACCTGTACACACACACACATTATGTTTTTGTAAATAGTAACTCACCTACGCACACAAGATGAGCTCACCTGTACACACATCGATTAAAACCAATACAAAACCGTGCCTGGCACCACATGTGCCTGGTACCACAAGCTCACCTGCGCACACAGATTTAGCTCACCTGCACACACACACAAATTGAGTTGATGTGATGTGTGCCTGACATTTTGTTACAGGTCAGTGAACACAAATGCTTACTTTCTGATTAAACTTAAATTTTTGTGGGGTGGGCGGGTGGGGCATTAATAACGTCTCTGAGGACATTTTTCTACATGATGATTGTTTTTTCCTGCTTGCTTCCACAGTACCATGTAACGTGTGCACAGGCGAGCAAATCCTTACCCGTGAACATGCGAGAAAATCCCGTGCGCACAGCTGAGGTTCCGCCCGCCGTCAGGACAGGCAAAGCACACAGTGCAGCATAATACAACCTGTGGCAACGGGAGCTGCAGGAGATGGGAATGGATCTCTTTCACAAAAACGCATTTCTCACATGTCTCAAGACTGCTTCATCATTCACATGTCCCCACGGCGCAAAAGAAAGAGCATTAATGTCCCACATGTGCAGGGACACTTGGATCCATTGATTATGCCACCACTTTGTTCGAGCAGGCCAAGGGAAAGGCCAAGGGCAAAAGGACCAGCTAAGTGCCGACGCAGCAGCCCTGGAGAGTGGCCGAAACGCGGCAAATCAAACAACACGCAGTCAAGATTCAAGATCCTGGTCTGAACCTTCCTCTACAAGGTGCTGCCTCCTATAAACGAAGGCAATACTATGCGAGAGCTGCAAGTAGGCACAAACAACGGGCGACATGTGAGCAAGTTTTAGACAAGCGATACAGGTTCCAGTTCTGCACGTGGCAAATACCCAGAAGAACGCTTTATTTTTCTCTGTGATTGCCATGCATGAGAACGTTTCACAAGAAAACAGGTTTGTTCACAGCAAGACTCACACGCGCAACTCTTTTTCTCTCTGGGGTCGGGCACGAAATTCGTCGCGCTTTCACGACGGTCGGGTTAGGCATCGAACTGCATCGAAAGGAATCGAGATGCATCGAACTAGGTTTCGAGGAAGTGAAGCACTGTCAAAACCGCTTGATTGAGCGGTGTGGCTTGCAACATGAACTCATACTTGCGCAATAGACGGATCAAGAGCTCTCGACGAGGCTGATGCCGGATCAAGTCGAGACTGACTTGAATTGGAGCCACTCTGAGGCCCAATGGCGAAAGGACATAAGATGATCAAGCTGCCAAGGTAAACAAAGTCGAGACTGCTTTGACGCCGTCGAAAAGAGAGATTGGCGCAAAGTGTCGAGATCAACACAAATTTCGTCACTGTTAGGTTGCAAGCCCCATGCAACTACATGAAGCATCAAAGGACGCCACAGGGTCCAGGAAAGCACATGAGAAAAACGGTCCAAACGTTCGAAGGATGTGACCTACTTCGCTCCAAGTAAGACAAATCAAGGCGATCAAAGGAAACGTCTCGCAATGTCATGGCCGGAAGCAAGGAGCTTGAGAAACAACAGTCCGGTTTGGATAATGTTGCACTTGCATAAAGAGAACCTGCACACGCAGACTAGAA